TCCCAGCGCCAGCTAATGGATGGCACAGTTTTCGATTTCTGGAAGCCCTCTCCTCAATACACCGAAGAGAACTTTTAATGGAGTCCTTACCACTACGACAACTACCAGATGTAAAAAGGGTAACTGCTCCAATCTAATTTAGCAGAATAACAGCAGCAAGGTATTCAACTGATCCCAACTTCAAAACTATACATCCTCAGACTCAGCTTCAGCCTAGGTATTTTATTTAATGTCCACTGCAGATATAAAATAACCAAACCTCAAAAAGTTCACAGAGGACTTCTAAAAACCCACTGTACGTACAAGAGCGGTGGTTTTCAACTTGTGATCACTGAGCCCCTGAAAGTCCACAGACCACTTCCACGCGCACCAAGAAGATTGCTTGCTTGCATGTTTTTATTTTATCAAACAGATCAGTGTAATTTAAGCTTCTGGGATTGCAATTTATATGAATTTAATAAATTTAATTTTTCTCAATTTCAATAAGAGCAGGAACAGACTCACAAGCGTTTATAAAAATAACACTACTTACTTTGTGCATCAAGACAGATGAACGTGACCCAACCAATCACAGCTAAAACCAGAGATCTAGAAAGCGCCATGAGCACTGCAGAAAAAATATCCTACTGAAGGCAAACACAGATGGTCGTTTCTCATATGCAATATTTGTAAAGAATCATTTCATTTGCCATATCGTAAGTTAGTTGCTATCTTGACAAATGCTTCAGTGAGAACAAGGCAAAAGGCTGGAATAAGCCTTTAAGAGCAATCCACAAACTATATAACATGCTATCATTTTCAGCTTGTGAGATCAAAGTCCCTTTTGGGCAATAAAAATAAATCAACAAGGAAACGTCACTTTTTGTGTTACAGCACTAACAACAAAGTCTATTTTTATTTTAATATTCAACACAGAGATAAGTAAATCAGCAAGATGTCCTGACCAACATGAGACACACCTACATATTCCCTGGGAAAGAAAACTAAAGGGGGTGTCAAAAGGCAAAGGGACCAGCATCGCCCCTTTCGAGCTCAAAACGATGACAGAGTATCTTCTCATAACTCTGTTCCACAAGGAGTAAGTACAGAATTCCTGTTGCGAAAACAGTAGTTACTGTTTGATGTGATGAAAGCAGACACCTCTGAAGCGTGCCTAGTATTTTACAGAGAGTATACATTGAAAATAGGTGTAGCAGGCAAATGTTTTAAAACACCTTACTTCAATGAAGTTTCCTGCAAAAAGAAAAAAAAAAAAGGAAAGAAAGACACTAAAAGCTCGCAGAGAACTTTCAAAGACAACAAATGATACAGCTAATCATGCAGTTTGTTTCAATCATTTGGAGGTAAATACACCTTTAATTCAAAGAAGCAACTGATTACACAGTAAGGAAACTGCTGCCAGACCAAGGTCTTTTCATATTTGTGCTAGCATGTTTTGTCACCATGGATACAAAAGCAATTACTATAGTTTGAATGAAAATACAAAACACAATGAAATTGCATATAATAACTAAAAATAAAATTATCATTGTGCTTTCCTAGCCTTAAATAATTGAAATGAAAGTGTGGGAGCAATTCAAGCAGAAGCAATTTAAAAAATATTAAAAGAAGTTCAGTCATGGGCACCATCTCTTTTGAACAAAGGCCACATCCAGCCATGATCATGCATTCAGTGGTGTTCTTACTAGAGCCAATCTCCAGCAGTTATCTTTCCTCCCCTGCCTGATTGTTCTCTGTGTCCATGATGGCCAGGCCTTAGCAAGGTTATGTGGCAAAATACAGAAGACAGATCTGTGCACAAAATACCTCCTGGGAAGAAAAAGGAAAAGAAGTTTCCTCATCTTGTTCACTGAACAGCATCACACAATCTTTGTGCTATGATAGCCAGGCCAGAGGCTACATAAGCTGGTATTTGTACCAAAAAGTTCTTCTAGCAACCAATCCTCTTGACCACTGGAAATATTTACGTGCTAGAATCTTAATCCACTAAGGAATATCTACTTTTGGATATTCCAAATCACACTGAAGGCAAAGCAGCTTCGATGTTTTCTGGGACCTTTGTTAGCAAGAGGCATCCCAGAGAGCTGGGAGCTGAGTGACGAGAAGTGGCATGAGACCTTAGAGGATAAAACTCCAGAAAGATCTCCCTCGTTATCTCTGGGGAGGCAGCCTAGAAGCTGAAGGAGGTAAACCACTAGCGTACATATTTGGTTTTGCACTGGGTGTGTAAGTTAAAGGTCACCTACAGGCAGGCACAGAACGAAAACTGCTGCTCTGATGCAGTGCAACACTGTTATCCGCTCTTCATAAGCTGCAACAGCTGCTTAGCTGGGAGGGTCCTGGTCCAAGGCTGCCCGCAGGACTCTGCCTTCCTGCTCGGTTGTGGTTCTCAGGGATCAGCACTCCAAGCCCAGACAAAAAGAAGCATCATGACAGTCTCAGCCATTGCCACCTATGTCCCATAATGGAATTAGGCCCAGAACAGAGTTCAGATGACACTCATTCATTTTCTGAAAGAGGGAGACGTGCATTTAAGGTGACGTGATTTATAACGCCAAACACGCTATAGAACAGGCAGGCATACAACCCAGCAAGGGTGGGGTGGTGGAAACAGTAATTTTTTTCAACTGACATTGAACACCATTAACCAGAATATATCAGCCCAGCATCCAGCTGTGTCGGCGAGGACAGCGCTGCTTGCTGAGCACGCAGGGCACAACGGAAAACAGCAGGACGCACGCTTCTCCCACGCCAGCCTGACAAGCGACAGGCATCTACTAAGGGCCGCGTGAGAGCGCACAGTCCTCCCTAAACTGAGAATGCTGGCCACTTTCAACAGCAGCAGCACCTATCAAATTAGCATCCAAAGCCCTTGTGATTCCCAAAATAGAGGAGCTCACGCAGTCCTGTGCAACCTTGCATCAGCTGCTGTAGCCTTCAGACTGGCTGATGGTTCCATCAACCTCCACCACCATGATGCTCAAAGACAGGACGAGACGGTAACCTCAGGGACGCAGCCGTTCTGTGCTGTCACTTGGCTCAAGCCTGGAAAAGCCTTTGGCTGGTTTTATTTATAGATAGAGCCAAGAGGGGATTCAACAGTAAATCTATTCCTGCAGTAAGACAAAGTTAACTTGAGCGCAGTCGTCTTTATTTCCTAATTATTAGGAAATAGAGAAGAAACTCAGAACACAGTGGTACAGTTCAGACAGATCAGATTTCACCAAGAACAGCTGCAGGAGGAATGTCTTCACTATTTCTCTATGTATGCTGCTCTCTTGGACATCAATAACAACTTAAGGTTTTACATTTGCCTGGAGTGGAGAAGGAGGTGCCTGAACAGAAGCAGGGACCTTCACGTAATGGCTGAAGCAAGCAGTACAGTGTGTCCATACCCTCAACAAGAACAGGAAACTATTTTTAAACAAATCAATTCCCTTCTGGCAAAGAGAAACGTCCCCTCAGTCACATCAAATATGCCCATGCTATTCATAGTTCTGCGTTTACAGACTGGGGCAACCATATGTCCACGTTTCTCCTAACACGTCGTCTTTTTCTCTGGGAGCCACTACTGTGGCTGAATTTAAAGCTCTGGCCCTTTCTCCAAGATTTCTGGACATCAAGCAAACAGGCACAGCTCCACAGTGCAGCAAGTTAGTTTAAACACACATGTGACAGTAGGATGTAGGCTGTACTCTTCCCAGTATACCAACTGCACATATACAGGACATCCATATAGCAATTTCTAGAAACAGAATCATGGAAACTAATCCTATTCATAGATTTAACAGACTGTTTAAATGCTATGATCAGCACTGTGGCAGCGGAAGGCAAAGTGAAACATGTTTTTAACACAGTTTAGTTCAATATTTTGCATACTTGGGTCATTTGTAGGGCAGCTCACTCATGAACTTTTAATCCAGCTTCAAAACTCAACGCAGATAAAAATTCTTCTAAGTTCTCGTAGCTTTGGAGTAGCTCTGTATTCAACCACATCCTGCTCCTGACAGATAAAAAGCCTGTACCATGACGCTGCAATTTAATCACAAGTACACATGCATGATTGAGACCATCAAACAACATTTATGCACTTACTTAGTATCTATAAAACACTCACACACTTCTTAAATCAATAACATTTATTTCCATTAAACCAAGACAAATTTTCAAAATTAATACAAGATAAAAATTCAAGGTGGTTGGCAAGGGGAAAAAAGACAGACTGCATATCATGTATGTTATTTTTATATGCTCAAAAATATTTTTGAATAAAACAATACTGGCACGTAGAACTGGCACTTTCCCACAGAACAAAACCAGCAGAATTTTCCTTTCCCTTCTAGTCAGTAGTTCTATGAAAACTAAACACGCATACATGCAGCCTGCAACTTTCATAGCAAAGTTTACCGTGGGAATTTGGAACAATCCTCTATTGGAAGTCACAAAATTGTAGCAGAACACTTATTCTACCACATTTTCGTACCTAGTGGATTTTATACTACTTCCTCTTTCAACAAACAACCACCAGTCTTCCAATGTTTACTCTAAGTGCTTAGAACTGCATTACTACTTGCAAACAGGCCTGAGGCGTTAATAAAGCCTTGTTTATTTGATACAGATTAAAGCATTCCTGCAGCGTAAATCATTCCTGCAAAGTTACCACTCCTGCCCAAAATCAAAGCCACCGAAATCCACGGTTTTGCCTGTTGGTTTCATTGGGCTCTGAATTTGCTATAGCATTGGACAAAACGCACAATAAACGACATTCATTTTTAATTGTTTCAGTAAAAATCTTCCACCTTGAAAGCAGTATTTTCAAGTATTGCTATCCTAGTCTTCTAATGCCTATTGAAAATCCTCAAGAAACAAGACAAACAAAAAAGGCCTGAATGGAGAGAAGAGTGCATTTAAACAACGATCTCCCTCTCCTTACCCCACCCCACCCTCCCACCCAGGATCTTGCTGACTTAATTCCAAACTCACAATTTATTGTACAGCCATGGCCTGGAATAAGCTTTCCCTGAGCGCTCTTTCCACCTGTTTCAAAAAGTCAGAGTATGTTTACTTGAATTCAGCCATTATTATTGCCATTATTGCCATTTTCTTTACTAATATGCAACACATTTTCTAGGCAAGTTATTTCATTTTGGTAGCCCTGGATTTTACATGTAGACAAACTTGTATTCTATTGCTCCAAATACAGAACTTGAAAGTGCATCTGACTTCTAAACAGTATTATTCAGGCAGGTTTCAGAAAGTAACTAGACCCAAAAGATCTACCTGCACAAATCTTGGTAATGATTCATCTCTATTGAAAGATGCAGAATTAATAGCATATCTGCTCAGAAATCCAGTGGCGTAGCATCATTAAGAGATAGAACTGCTTTGCGTCCTACAGTCTGGATATTGGAAGGGAAGAAAACACTGTATTGTGCAACAGGAGTCAGATATGGAATGGGAATGAGTATTAATTTCACATACAAGTAAAGCAAGCGTTTCACGTGCAAGATGCAATACTGCATCATCATGGCATCTATATAATCTTTGGAGGTCTAGTCTCTACCTGCTACCCACCTTCACACGAATGGGAGTTATGTGATATACAGAAGGAAGCCTCAGAACTGCATTAAAACTTTGCTTAAACTAGTCTAAGTCACAGGTATTGTCACAGACTTCAAATGCAAATCCCCAGAGGACTGACCTAAAATGTACCATCAAATACTACACAATATAAATACTCTAGGCGAGTTGTGTTAATGCTGCTGCCTGTACTCAGAATTCAGTAGTCTTGCTTCTTCCTTTTCAGTATTTCTAGCATACTAAAAGGCATATTTATGTCTTCCCCATAAATAAAGTTAGTCTAATAATTTAACTTTGTAGATTTATAAAATATTTTCTATGCAACTTAACACAATAGCCTAAAAAAGCAAATAAATTTAAGAAATTTATTTACAATTAAAATAAGTACAGACCTTATTGGATTTGCATTCATTTATCGCACAAAATAATTTACAAGGCTTAAGTAATAAATAAGTCACTGGAAAGCTTTCAGAGGTGTGCATTCTCCGTACGTCAGAGCGCAGTACAGTTTCAGGAAGCAGTAACGTATTCTGGCTAAAGTTTTTTCAGGAGTCCTTATGTTGGACGGCCTTGACCAAAACGGGATTTTGACCTGGATTAAAGAACACATAAGAAGCATATACACATTATTACTGCTAGAATTATTGTCCAGTCAGCTCTTAGAGTATTTGTTTGAAATTAAAGTGTCTCCTGAGAGAAGAGGAGAAAAAAAAAAAAAAAAAATCTCTCTGTCAAGATTCATTATTGACAAAATTGTGTTTCTGCCAGGATACCTGTACCCACAAACTACATGTTCATACAAAGGTACAGAGCTGAAAGAACTGTGATGTCAAATACCTTCCTTTGAAATCACTAATTCTACAGAGAGTAAGTCACATGCGTTTTTTTTGACAGAAATAAGACCCGTGAGAAACTCGTCTGACAACATATTTGAAGCTTCCAGCCCATCCCTTAGAAGTTTATCAGCATCTCCACTACAAGCTTCAGCTCAAGACGCTCACCTGCTGGCCAGATTATGACCAGTGCTAGGCTCTGCAACTGCACACAGTGTGCCAGCTTCTCAGTTCATTTTTGTTTCATCCATTTAAGGCGTAGCAGATCAATAGGCAGTAACGTAGGTTTTTAGTGTGGGGCGTTTTTTGGTTTTGTTTTTGGAAGGAAGCCAAAGAATAGGCTAAAGAATCCTGGCTAACACTTTTCCAGTTATCCATAATTTCTCAAACAATTATACTGGAGCAGCAGTTAACCTTCCAACATAGAAACTATAAAACAGTTCTTCCAGCATGGGTACAAGAGTTTCATTCTCTTAGCTCTAGTTTAATTTGACAAAGGATGCTTTCACACCATATATGGTTAACCTGCTGGAAGGAATGCTGATTCAAAAGAAGCGTATGAAACAAGGCACGTGTGTCTTTACACACCCCCCACCTGAAATCCATGTTCTGCTTTTTCCTTTCAGTTTAAAATCTTACCTGGCATTCTTCTCAGCATTGTTTTGTCGTGCACTGACCTGCGCTGAGGCCTTTATCTGAGCTTCAAGTCTAGAATAAATGCCTCCTGCGTACTAGAATCCAGAAAAGAAAGAAAAAAAAAAAAATAATCACGTTTTGACATTATTCCAATTTAAATCAGTGACTTTTCATAAAAATCACTAATATTCTGCAGAACCTATGGCACACTTTGTTTCATTATCACAACCCAATACTGAAGCCTTTTAAACCCATTCTGTTTTCCATGCCCAGTTTTTAAAGGCAGTGAACTTTAAATATTATTTTAAACTATTTTCCCCAAAAAATCATGCTTGGAACAAAATGAAGATTGATAAAATCCAGTTCTTTAGCTTAAGTATTGACTAGACGGTATTTTCATTTGTGTTACACATTTTTGTTACCAAGGCTCACTTCAATTCTGTAAAGACTACATTGAGGCAGGACAAGTCTTACTTCTTTGCTGTCTTTTGACTTGACTCGATCAAGGTCTCCCAGTCTCATTTTTATCAAGTGTCCCGTAATCTCAGACATTCTCCTCTGATCTGTCAGAAATAAGAAAAAATATTTAGAACAAGAGGTTTTTCTTGCTACTGAAAACAAAGAGAGAATAATTAGATGCACACTTAAGTGATATTCTATTTGTAAAATTAGCTTTCTTTTCAGCTCATATAAAAATCTTGAACAATCAAGATCCTAGATCCTGATGCATACTGTAGCTTCAGCAGTGTTCTTGGCAGATATCAGAATCAGCCTGAGGCATTACACTGACATCAAAATCTATGGGGACCGTTTTGAGGCAGAGCTTTTCAAAACAGCAAAAACGCACAAGAATCTCAGGAGAGGACAAAAGGTGGAACAACCCAATACAATTCTGAATATTTTTAGTCAGAAAGACTGGGAAAGAGAAGTGAATGTTTATCTCTGTTTATCTGCACGGGCAACAAATGGCACAGGGATACGGGAAAATTTATTCGCATACTTATACAGTCATCAGATGACACAACTAGAATCTCTGTAGGCTATGTGCTGACATTCCAAATAAAGAACACAAACCACGCTAACATACACTTATAATGCATTTTTTCTTTTTCTCCTGCAAACTTTGAACTCCTTTCCAATATTTTCCAAGACAGTAGGCCCAACGCTGCCTATTTACTTTTCATCTGCGTGCAAGACTACAACATATAGTTTTATATGGTGGATTTTATTTCCATTTTCCTACCACAAAGATTTTTTCTCCTGTAGAATAGATAAGATTGCTAATAAATGCCAATCAAATCCTAAAGTAACAGCTAGGATCTTCCTGCTGAAAATGTATGAGTATTTTTGTACAGTTTGGAAGAGTCTGAGATTGCTGTGTGGTTTGGATACAGCTGATTACTATCAATTAGCCTAGCTGAAATCTGTTCTCTTCCAAATGAGGAACAACTGTAATAAAAAACAAAAACAAAACCAAAAAACAACAACACAAAAAGCCCATTGATATATCCGAGTTTAAATTCAATCTAAAGGTTTCTAAATAGCTATATTTTAGGAAATGAGCCATTTCTTGTATTAAAGAATAATTTTCTTTGCATAATGTTAACTTTATGAAAGCTAAACTCATGCAAGAACGGACCATCTTCTCTTTGAGCATCTTGGTTGAATCTTAGTGACCTGGAGGCATCCCATTTGTTCTGCTGCATACTCACACTGGTTAGAAAAGAAAGATGCACACAATGTTACCAGTAACAGTTTACAAAAAGGGACATACTACAGTATGTTCTCAAAGACTTTGAAAATCACTTACATGAATGGAGATGCATCTCGGGAACTTGACTATCAAAGAAAGAAGACCACGTTAAGTACGTTTTAAGATCAAGTCCAAAACTTAAGAGAATTCCACATCATTCAACCCAACCAGAGAGGCTGGCTTCACAGCTCTGCTTTTACCTTGTCAGATGGCTTCTCCTTTTTCTGAACACTAGGTGAAGAAACCACTTTCTTTGGGTGCTTGTAGGATTTCTTTAATTTCTCTTTTCTCCCTGCTAATTGAAGAAATATCTACTAACACCATCACAGACATTTGGAATTTCTGCACAGCTAGAATTTTTTCCCTTTACTCCTTTACAAAGAGACTAAATGAACAGGCTATTTTCCCTTTGTTAGTGTTGAAGGCATGCTAATACACACAGATTACTCAAACGCTTTTCTATTACACACATACAGGAACTCAAATACATATTTAAAACACAGAGCAGTTACACGTAACTGCACAAGTTTTCTGTTGTAGAATTAAAAGCAAGTGCACATACAAGCTACATCTTTGACCATATTAATTCAATCAACAAGCTCTGAGTGATATCAGATCAAACAAGTTTAAAGTCAAACTACAAAAATTTTCATTCAAAAATTTTTTTTTAAAGGTACTGGTGAACTCCAATCCCTTTGAGTCAAGACAAAAAGAACAAAGAACTGCCTCTGCTCAAATAGCTCGTTACTACCGTGAAAAGGAGAAGCTGCTTTTTGGCTTTCCATGTTCCTAAACCCCTTATCTTATTAAACAAAAACAACAACAACAAAAAACCAACAAAACAAAACCTAACCTTTTTAGACCATATAGAGCTTATCTTCTATGCAGACACAATTCTAGCCACGCTCACTAGTCATTTCACTATATAATCAGAAAAATACTCGGGGGGGGGGGGGGGGTTTTGGGGGGGGGGAAAGCATGCAAAAATATAGTCATGCCTTTTCTTCCAACACTTATCTACAAGAAACTTCATTAAAGTAATTTGATAGTCTTTCCTGCAAAATACGCCCTTGATCAACTTTGAGGACATCTCAGACATCAATAGTTGCAGCTTTCCTCCTTTGCCAGTGATTTTTTCATGGCACTGAGCAGTGGGGTAGTTTGTATCTAAACACAGAAAAACTAGAAATAAAATTCAAGTAACGTTGTTTTTTATTTGCTTACAGAAGAATTCTGCTGCCTTGAATCCCTATCTCTAAATTCCAGGGAGGATGACTGTAGAGACTTGTACCTGGTTTCCTGCAGACTTCTTCTTCATCGCCCACTTCATCCTCAGTGACCTCTGAGCCAGTGGTATACTCCTCTTCTTCCGATAACAATGACTGCTGTTTCTAATCAAGAGGAGGAGAGTGCCACAGATTGTAAGTGAGGCTTAATTCTTATTAAATGATACATAAAATCTGTCCTGAAGGAGTTGTCTTCAAATCTAGCTCTCTTAGTGATGTAACTGTGTGCACAGGTAGGGCTGAGAACACAATTCTGAAATGTTGAGAAAGTAATTTCAACTCTTTGCTTAGGATGTTTTGATAAATATTTTGATTTATGTCTCTTCCAAGTGGTCAAACGTTATAAGAGGTTGCCCAGAGAGGCCATAGAATCTCGATCTTCAGATATTTGACTGCCTATGACCCTGAGCAAAGTGATATAGCTTTGAAGTTGAATCTAACTTAGAAGTTGGCCCTGCTTTGAGAGTGGGAGGAAACATATAAGATGACCACCAGAGATGCCTTCCAGCATATATCCTTGTATGATTTAGCGTTCTGTATCCAATGTATTGCTGGCTATATTATTTTTCTAATTAATAAGAAAATTCACGTTATGGTAGCAACGTGAGCTAGCCACATAACGATAGAATACAGGAATCTACAAGTTTACTTACGGTTCTATTGAAGCTTGCTGCATCTTGCAAACTGCCTGAAATTGCCGAGATACTCACTAATTAAATACCACAGCATGCATATTGCAGTGCACTACAAATACACATAGATTCGGTACACTGGGGCTAAGTGCATTAATAATTTATTGCAAGTTGGTCTGGAATACCTGGTTGGCTTTTTTTTGTGAATTCACCTTAATACCTAAATTTTTTTCCCCTTCTATCTCTTGTACATCATAAACCACTGGCTCCAATGTTGCAATAGGTGGGGTCACAGTGAATAGTTCCTAACTGATCAGCACAGGATAACGAAAATATTAAGGAACGTGATGTTTATATTGTTTGAATATACACATATATCTTTTGAAGTAAGGGATAATGAGCGCCTAGTAATCCATGAGAAATGACAAAGCCCAAAATGGACTGCAAGTTCAAAAAGTTTGCAACAGGAACAGTCTTACTACAGGACGCTAGGAACATCAGACTCCACCACAAACCGTCAAGAGTGACAGCAGTAAACTGCTGCTCTCTAGCATTTACATTAAAAAAAAAAAACAAAACAAAAACCAACTGTAAATCATGTGACATCCTATGCTGCTGGAAGAACAACTCCCCATCCTCTGCGTTTGACTAGGTCCTCAACGCTGATAAAAGCTTTTTGCAATGAAGCAGCAGCATAAAGAAGACATGAAGCATCTCAGACAAGCCATCAAAGAGACGGACACTCAAAAACTCCGATTTTGATCATTTCTGTCAGCCTAATGAACTATTAAGAACTGATGCATGCATTGCTGGTCATTGTTGTCATTTATAAAAACACTTAAAAGGAATTTTTAACGTTTATTCAAGCCAAAGTAGTACTTCACACATACTTCATACTTTCTTGTAAAAATTGTTGCTATACTGTAACCTCCAAATTAAAGCAAGAGTAAGAAAAAACCATTTTCTTCCAAATTAGTTAGAAAATAAGACAAAAATCAAAGCTTGATATGTCAGTGCAGTAGAGCAAATATTTAAAATCATGAACAAAATATTTTACTAACCAGCTGTAAAGTCCAGTTCTTCAGAGAAAGAAACTGTGATCACAAAAAGAGAAAGGCATATAAGTTAAAGACCTAATAATAATGAGAAGAAAAAAAAAAGTGAGTGTAATTCTAAAAAATAGAGTGGCATGTTATAGTACAGCAATCTACACTGGTAACGCCTAGAAGGCTTACTCTCATCTTGAACTAGAAACGTTGATGGAATGACTAAGCGTGCAAACAGGCTGTGAACTACTAATCAATTAAATGCAGTGAATTCATAATCGTGTTTTAATTTGACTAACCTTAGCACTACAAATATTTACAGCTGATTTTAATCAAAAAAAGCAGTCCAGGACAGGGGGGCAGTTATGTACCAGATTGTTATGGAGTTTGAATTTAATAGCTTCCCGCATTGGTTGTGAGAGAGCTAGCTTCTGACAGCCTGTGTGAAATTCTCATGGAATCAGCAGCATCACGCTACCATCAGGATCGTTGAGTTACCAGAAGTTCTACAATGGGTGCAGAACTTCAAAAATGTATCTTTGCATGAAAGCTCTCTTTAAACCAGAGGTAGTATGATAAACAGTCCTCTTAAACTTGGCTTAGAAAGTATCTCTGTTGACCTGACATACACATAGTAACATACACGCATCATAGTTCGGGAAAGTAAAATCTTCCACATCTTTGGCGGGGGGGTGGGGGGTAACAAACAAAAAAATAGCCCAAAACCAGAAACCAACAAAAAAAAAAAAACCAAAATGCCACAATCCAAGTTACTGTTCTTCATTTATGGGCTTGCAAAAGTCACGTGGACATACCCAGATACATCAGCAGACAAAATGAAGGCAGCAATTATATTTGCCACATGATGTATTTTAAACTATGACTGGATCCTTAAATATCATCAGTTTAAGAATGGGAATATTTCCAGCAGACACAGTAAAACTTTTGCCTTTTCACCAACCAGATATTTTGTACCTATGCTAGCCTATGCGATCCTGCCATGCTCAGCAGTGCACTTCTTCATCCAACAGCATAGGGTTTTTGTCTTTATTAAAAGTTGCGTAATGAATTCTTCAAAGTACCCTTGTAAGAATCTTCATTATCAGAAAGAATGGGGGGGAAAATATTAGCAGTTACTCACAGCATTGATTTCTCCAGTTTTGGGACCCCACGGCGTATTTGGTTCTACAAGCACATCACATTCAATGCCTTTTTCATCACAGAGCCCAATACCAGAATCACTTAAAGAGAAAGATGTGAAATGAAAATGAATTTTTCTATTTCATGACTTTAGAATCAGTCTCTCTTTACTCATCACGTACCAAGAGAAGACAGACCTCCAAGCCAGCCACAGAATATTTTGATAACAATCCATTAAATATTAAGACAGGAGTGAACGCTTATGGGGGTTGAATGACTAAACGTCTGCTTGAAATATAAAAGGAAAAAGTACTTGTTCTTCTCTTCCCAATTTCCAACTAAACAATAAAAAATAAGTTATCTTTCAAAAGGCCTATGTCACACATTTTAAAATAGGAGAGAAATCAAACATAACGTGCACATACGTTAAGTGTTGAAGGCTAAGTTATTTCAGTAACACAATACAATGTTCTTACCTATTCTCATCCTTAGCAAAAGGAACAACAATAACATCCCTATGATGGAGCAGATCATTCAATATTTTAGTAGTCTGAGATGCCAAAGCATCGCCATCTTCATTTCCTGAAGGTAAATCAACCATGTGATCCCTCACCTTGCAGCCCTGCGATACATATACGCGCAAGATCAAATACTTAAGTTAATGGCAAGAACTGATTTCAGTAAGTACAATAACAAAAGTTCAACTTTTAAACTTTTCTGTCCCAAGGTCCCAGCCTGCCTTGGGACACTGCAACAATTTACAATCCTTATTTTGGAAAAGATCTATTTTCATAACACACTGTCACCCCCCGCCGCCCCCACCATGCGCTATGCTCTTTTAAAAGTGAGCTAGTATCGAAGTACCTTTGGGAGGGTTGTAGGATCAAATCGAAGTACTTTTTGGTTACAACAGGGATATACTCCTGTCCCAGTCGAGCCCAGAGCACTTGCTACACCTGGATAGAGAACGGGCTGCGAATGGTACTGGCAATGGGAGAATTCAGTACACAGGAAAGACTACATTAGAGTAAAGAGAGAGATAATGAGAGATGAGATTACCTATGGACGTCAAAATTTTGCACTATAAAAAACATATACCAAGCTTTATTGCCACGTATTTTCCAAACTGCTTTAATCCTTGCCTCACCCCCCAAAAAGTCACCCACAACAAGCCATCGACAGACAAACAAGTGAAAGTGAAAATACTAACGTGGTTACATCTCGAGCAGGTCAACCAATTGACAGTCCCCCAAAGACGCCAGTAAACATCCCGCCAAGATTTCAGTTCCTCATGAAGGCCAATTAAGTACTCGTGGACTTCCCAGGTTTTGTCTCTGAAAAAGCCAAAGGTCAGGTTGCATAAAGAGTCATAACTCTGTTTTGATCCAGCCACCAGAAAGGTGAGGTGCAGCAGGAGCAGAACAACACATGTTCCACTGGTGAAAAGCCTACAGCCCAGTTTAGAACAGGAAGGATACAACGTGGGACAATGATTATTAAATTCAGACCATGACAGAAGAGCCTATATTCTTTCACAACATCCTAAACTTACCAAAGAATTACAGCCTGATTCATCTTGAGTTCCATCTACTGCAAATTTATAAGCTATGATAAATATCAAGGCTTTTGGAAATCAGGAGAACCGTAAAACGGAGGAAAACCCAATACACAGACTACAAGAAATCAAAATATGCACATGCAAACAAGCTCAGTCATACTGCAGTTTTCTGTCTTTTAAGCAGTATGTTGTGCAACAGAAGCGAAGTACTGCCATTCCATTTCATTTCTTTTAAAAGCCAACGTAAGATGTTTCTATGTATCTGCAATGCAACAGCAATTACTCAGTTAAGAATTCAAGTTTGAAAATATAAAACCATGTCTTTTTGATGAATCTGAGACTTCTGGCCTTAAAAATACAGCCTTTGCTCCCTCCTAGTGACAAAATGACACGCACATTCAAAAGAGAATACACAACCTGCACTGGTGCACATTATCTTCAGAAAGAGCAGATATTGTTTTCTCACAATTTTAAGCCCTGGCCTGAAAAAAAGAATTTTTTATTCTGTAGACGTCTAAGCTAGACTAAGCGAGCAGTACTTCCATCAGGAAGTTAGGTCTAGACACCACTAGAGGACCAATAACTATAAACCTATTTTTACGTCATTAAAGATAGGCTTGTATTAGCTCATAAGCCTGAACTCATTAGTGGCCACAGCATCACTTTGCCTAAGGAACGGTAAATGGATTCTGTTTAGAAAAACAGCCACAAGTACCACAAGGCAAATAATTAGAACCTAAATAATCCTCTGGGTAACTTTAAAACACTGCACATTTATATGCTAGGAATTGCATAGCAGCTACATACAGTCAGCTTAAGTGAAGTTATACAATTAATGAATTTTACGTGGCTAATCACCAATGATCCTAATAGGTCAGGACAGGGTCGCAATATTCGGTTCCATTTAGACCGTGAGGCAGAACTTAATCCACACCTTGGAATTATTGGTGGGAGATAACAACACGTGTTGCCTTGGGAGCTGACATTGAACTGTGTTTTGGTTGTTCTGAACGAAATACATCTGATGAGAAAGGTCTCCTGTTATTAGTTTCCCACCATCTTCCTTAAAGGGGGCATGTGGGGAGGGAGGGAACTGCAGCTGATCACGCTCTGATCTTCATTAAGAAGAGAATCCAGCTGTTCATAAACATGGATCAGACAGAATTGAATTACACATTTGTGCCAAATGAATAAGGCATACACACAGAATAGGTCCTCGAAGCTCCTCTGACAAATACTTTAGAACGGAAAAACAACTGGCAAAGTTTCTTCATTGTAGCCTTTAAGCAGGCTGAGTATTTGATTTGACAGTATAAAGTCAGTCTAGAAAATACTCCTCAGCATTTCTTTGCTGGCAGAGGCGGATCTACCATTCAATAACAAATCCTGTAGAAATGCAGCCTTTAATTTAATTTGTCATCAACTACACGTTTATCCTAAAACCCTTTGATGAAAGAATTAGCTGAGTATTTTCTGTTTAAGGCAGTACAACCCAAAATAGCCCTCCCAGTAATTGTGGCTGTAGTTCTTCCGTTTCCATTCAGCAGCAGCACTGCTGAATGAATTTCAGAAGTACATCATGATAATCACCCCTTTTTTTTTTTTTTTCCTTTTGGCTAGGTATAAGAAGTTAAGATGTTTCAAACTGCTGTTCACATATCTATGACTTCATTTTGCAATGTGAGTATCTGATAACTGCTAAGCATGTGGTATTTTTTTTAAATCACCCACAATCATATAGTTGAAGAAATATTTTTAATATATATATATTCACTACCTTATATGAACATAGACAATATTCCCATGTTGATCAATGTTGATTTTTCCTGGGACACAAGGAATTCTTCTTTCAGTTTCTTTAGTTAGCATCTTTTTGCATAAACAACACCTAGATTTAAAGAAAGAAAAAAAAAAAGTACTGGATTAAAGAGCAGGACTTCAAAACACAGGGACTTGTCCCTGTAACTGTAGTAATAAAAAAAAGACCATACCTGTATAATGTTGCTGCATTTCCTCGGGAATCTGGATTTAGGTACTCTGGATCAAACAGTCTCTCAATCTTCTTGCAGAAAAGTTTACTATTAATGACAGCAACACAGCTTATCCATTAGAAAAAACTGAAATTTTTTTTACGTATAGTAAGACTAACAATAATATTCTGATGATATGCAAAGTCGCCACATTTCTTTCAGAATCTAGCTTTTAATGGGATTTTCCTTTAAACTATTCTGTTTGGTTAACTGGTTCCTGACCTGGTCACCTCTTATTTTTACACAGATGTGAGGAAAGAAATCCCTTGATTTTTTTCCTCTATTACTTTCTTTGTTTGCCAATGTAAACTGCCAGCTTCTACACTGACAAAAAGACCTTTTATTAATGAATACTTCTGTGAAACTACACTTAACTTTTAGAGTTAAAGTGAAAATGTCTTCATCTCTACTGATTAAGATCCTTTCTTACTTTCACCTTGCTTGTCTGTCAGTCTGCTCTCCAATAATTGGCCTTTATCTTGATACTGACAAAGCTGGAGTCCTTATGTATGAAATAGTATTCCTTCACAACTATTCAGCCTTCCAGTCATCCTAAATTCTATGTCCGAACATCAGCGTTCACAGGATGGTGAAGCCAAACCATTCTCTACGAATTAGGAGCATGTCATTGCATAAAAAAGTTCCTTACTCTAATCCTGGCTCCCACATGAGAACTCATGAATAACTTGTCCACGTCACATCCCTAGCGTGGCCTTTCCTTTTGCTCATTTCCTATAAAAAGCTCTTTCCTTTTGCTCACAATTTTAATATAAAATTCTGAAGTCACTTCACGATATTCTGTTAAAGATACATGATATGAGAATATAAATTGTACATACATCACTTCAAACCTCCCAGTGTCTTAGCTGTTCTGAAAAACGATCCAAAAGCCCGACAGCACTTCAGTAGTGTATTACAGGGCAAAAAGTTACCTCTTAAATTTGTCCCTTTTGTCTTTCAACTCTTCCATTTCATTGTGCGTGAAGAGATCAGCAATGTGCGTGACAAGATTAGCATTGATACAATTCATGTTACATGGCGTGGCTACAATAGCATTCATATTTTTGTGACAATAATGAATGCATTTTTCTACCTAGGAAAAACAGAAACATTAAAAATAACGTTAAGGAATTCTAGACAAAGCTATCTCAAAAGATGTACTAATTGCTTCAAGATTTTTATTTTTAAAAGTGTGGTGGTTTGGAAAACTGTTTCAGTTCAACTTAAAAAAGTCTCAGATTTATCTATAGGAGACTCTGAATTAACGTGACTCTTGAGTTAGTTTGTGTTCTCCTCCAAAAGGTTTCTACAGACCAGAAAACAACTCCACAAATGTTTCGTCTTCAACAAGTGGTACCTTCCAACTGCTTGTAAAAAGAGAACCACAGTACAGGTTATACATAGCATTGCCTGGATCTCCAATTAAACAGCTATGTTTACTGTGTAGTTAGTTGTGGGTCACTCCAACAACAGAACTTTTGACAAACATTTTAACCAACAAGTCAGTAGACATTACTTATACAGAGCTGGAGAACCAGATCCTAAACTGCAGAAGTGTCGTTCGTGTAAAAAGGATATAAACCAAAGGTATTCATTGATTTAATAATCTTTTTTAAAAGTCAGATACTGATGTTACTCTAGATCAGTCATCAGAATCCAAGATCCCACTATCACATTTAGAAATAACTTGGTAAGTTTTCTTGCACTGAGATTCTGCAAATAGTAGAATACTGCATTGAATAAGAAAGGTGGTAAAAATCTCAAAATGTTCTCATTGCATCATCTGTTTATGTAACAGCCAAAGCATTACAAACGAGCTGTTAGACACCTGGTAATTAACTGTGCCCTTATGGCAGAGAATCTTTCTTTCTTAATACTTACTAATGAATCCATCTTCAAAAACTCAGAAGAAATAAGAATTGATATGACATTTGATGGTTCTAAAAGGCAACAAAAAAAAAAATAGGTTTGTTTTTTTTTTTTTTTTACACTAATTCCTTCCATAATTTCACATCACAGCCCTCCCTCTGCATATTTAGTATCTGTTTTAAGTATTATTTTACCAATCAACCTGTCATTCCAACTTCCAATATGTAGAGCATTTTCCATTTTAAGAAACAAAGTTTCGGTTTATCATTTAGGTGGTCAGAGTACAACTCTAACAAAGTGGCATTTATAAAAACTGGAAAAGGTGGCTTCATAGGGATACAATGACTAAACAATTACACAAGAGTAACTGCCATCTGTAGCCATCACACCCAGCTGAGATTTTGCTTCACATAACCTTTGCATTGCAAGTTATAACTCTATTATCTTCGTTTGTTTATATTTTTAAAAAACGGTAGTGACAGCTCATAAAAAATTAGTAACTTGCCTCAAATTCATAAAGGCAAAAGTTATTCTACCATTGTATCAGATTGCATTGAAATTTTAGAAAATATTGCAACTATACTGATGGGGAGCAAAGGGGAAACAAAACAAAACCCAACAATCACCGGTATTTTAAAACTACTGCTGTGTTCTTGTTCAGAAGAGGTCTGAAGAATCTTAATTAAAAACACCAGATCCCAAAATATATTAGACCTTTTCCACTGCTTCAGCTATCAGGATGTTTCCTCAGAACTGTTGGTGTTGACAAGTCAGAGACATCCGTTACAACGAGCAGAGGATCCCTGTCGTAACCATTTTCTAATAAATGACAAGCTTCAATGCAACAGTCAGAAACAAAGACACTGGGGCTGAACTGTAGCAAAACCAATCATCTTCCATTAGTACAGAATATAATGAACCTACAACAAATGATCCAGACACTTCCTTTTACCTAAAGTGGGCATTTCATTAGCTTCAGAATCTTTAGTGTTCCTTTTAACATATCTTATCAACCAGTCAAAGATGTGAACGTCACAGTGCACTGAAATGTCCACCTCTTCCCAGCGCTGGGCATCCACTGACAGATATTCAGCAAAGTACTTCATTTCCGAAATCAAAAGGTCTCGAGGACAAACAAAATCTTCTTTGAGGTTTTTAGCTTCATCGCACACGTGGATCACCATATTTGGCCTCAAAAAGAAAACAAGCCACAAACCAAATTAGGACCATAAGCCAATTAGAACACCAAACCCAATCAACAAGATCTCATCTCCAAATCTGGATCACATACTGCAACACTGATGTCACTAACAGGTTTTTATTAACTGCAGGAAAACAACAGTTTGCCTTTATAGTTATTAACTGCAATTTAATAGACACTATTGTCAGATAGTATTGTCAAGTGAAGAACACAAATGCATATCCTCCGACACGTAATCAGCAAGATTTAATGGTTAAGGGACTGAAAAAAGAAAACTTCTAGCTCCAGTCCCCAATCTTGTCTCCAGTTTGTTATGGGATCCTACCTGAATTACATAAAGAACTTACTCGTTCTCCCTTTTTTATTTTCTCGAAAAAATAGGCAGATATGTATGCCTAACTTACCGAGGCACCAAGGATAATAACAGCGTACAATAGCTATATCCGTCTGTGGAAATTAGAACTGTCTCTTGTATATTAAAATGACTATTTCTTAAGAAAACGACAAAGCTAGAATCAGTAAAGGCCATCTCCACAGAAAGATGGTTACACTTAGGCTGCAAAAAACCCACGTTATTCTGTGTGCACTTGTATAGCATGGAAAACAGTGATGTGCATGGCTATTTAAATTCGTAGTAAAATTTTTTCATTTGCACTTTCCATTTATGGCTTTCTTTTACACAGGACAAATCTATGTTCACAGAATGTATTTTTTTTTAAATGTTATTGAGCATCAATCTTGTTTCATTCCTTTTTAAAATCAGGTTACGTTTCCCATTCTCCCCACGGCAGCGATCAATCACTCAGAGAAACGCTATGGACAGATTCATAAATAAGCTATTCCTATTGCACATAAGAAATTCTCAAACCAACTCCTAGTATTTCTGTAGCAATCTAAGGTTTGCAAAATCTCTTACAGCATTTATTAGGACGTTCCCAGCTGTTTTCTTTGCAATAGTAGAAAAGTACGGACAATTTAGACATCTTTCTGTCAGTTCTGTAATCCCCTAGATAACAAACATACAAAGATCTTCTTACCCCTGGCTTTCGTCAGTGCTTTCTCCACCTTTATGCACAGGACCTTTCTCAGATTCTGAAGAACAATTCCTTGTGGCGGTTGTGCTGGGCCTTCCTTAAATGTAAGGAAAAAAGGCTGCATTAGAAAAAAAAATGCCTGACCTTTTGCTCTTTAGCATCTTGGAAACACAACTGAAGTACAGCTGTCAGAGTGAAGCAACGTTACACAACTAGCAATAACTCTGTGCTACCATGAGGGCTACTAGATAATCCAAATTCCAGCTCTGAATGCCATGCACTGGAAACTCAGATCGGCACCGTTGCTGGGTTGCCCAGAGACTTGGCTGCAAACCCAGATTGGTCCTGTCTCAATACAGAGCACTAAGATTCATGCAGAGTCTTCAGCATTTCCTTCCAGGAATGCAATCCACTCCTTTAGCTTTCCTTGTCTGCTTTGTGGGATGCAGGTCCTAAGATTCTGTCACACCAAAACTTCTGTTTTCAGGAAGCTTTGCTGCCAGGATATAACAACTTGAGACTAACTCCGCTCCTTATTCATAATTTGTTAGCTCTGGAAATAAGTTGCTTCCAAACAGAAGCACAGAAGTTCTTATAAATGTGCGTTTGCTAACTTTCTCAAACACATGGCTTAAAGCAGCAGATTGTATAAAACAGTGCTCAAAGAGAGCAGGCCATCAAATTCACCCAGTCCTAGAACTACATCATGTAGTTTATTCCAGGAATAAAGGACAGCTGCGCTCTAGTCCAAATAGGTTACCTTCACAAATGCACCACAAGCAGTGGAACCTGGACACAAAACCTAGTGAAGTCCAGGAGGTCTGCTCACCAAATCCAGCCCGTTCTGGGTCAAGGGTTAAGACAACCCCAGCATTCGGACATCAAATAACATTTCTGACTGTGATGAATGGATTGCTGCAATCCGAAACTTCAATAATCTTGCTTATAAGTCAGAAAGATCATTATCTTTTTTTAAATAATGGAAGGGCACATATCTGTCTTCCACTGGTGAAAACCCATAAGGTCATGGTTTTCCATGATTACTCCCTGCTCTCAGATTTCTAGGAAAAAGAGTTCCAGAAGCATCTGCTCCCTCTTGTGTAATGTAAGAGGCTGTACTCGTCTGAAGAAGACTAAGATAGCCCTCTTCATCTTATGGCTATATCACTATAGCAGACTGACACCAAAAACGATCTGGAAGCTCTATGCAGTTCAGAACACAGCAGTTATGGCCTCCAGGAAAGCAAGTTATCACACCAGAGGCAGAAGAAACAAAACTTTCTCCAAAGATACAGCCTAAGGCCTTGCACAGTTCAGCCTCAGGAAGGCCATATAGAGGAAACACAGTTAATAAAAGGGTAAGATTTGCTAGACAGACCCTAGTAAAACCCTGGAAGGGGCTGGGGTCAGCCACAGCCTTCAGGGCAGCCATTCCACTGCAGGCAGATGACCCGTGTTAGCATTAAAACAGCCAAGGTGGGAGTCCTAGATTTCAAATGCAAGGTAAGGTATTTTAAAGAAAGGGCCTGTGGAAAAAAAATGGAAGAGTTCTGTCTGCAAATATTAAGAAGTTTGTTTTGAACACAGTGAAGCTATTTATTAAAGAAAAGGAAATAATGCTGACAAGAATATGCATCACAGCCAAATTAACAGGGATGGCTGAACTTCACCATACATTCCTTCCTACCGTTTTTTTTCCCCTTCCCCCCAAAGCTTATAGAATGTTTGACTTCTGAAAGTTAGTAATAAATACTTTGGGTAAAAGGCTATCCTATATGCTTGTTTACTGCCATAATAGGCATTGGGAGGGACTTAACAGCAGTTTGCCTTATAATTAGCAAGTAATAAATGAGCTTTTATAACTCAGCCAAAACCAGAAAGCAGCTCAAAATGAATTTGGTCTGATTGCTTTTTCTTGCTGTTACTCATGTCTACAAACAAATCCAAACAGGCCTAAAATTCTTGATCCTAACAATAAGCAGATGTGAATAAATCCACTAGGAAATAATTAATTGAACAAAAACCATGTACAAATAGGCTTTTCTCAAATCCCCAATTCTGAAATATACAAGTACCTCAACAAATATTAACACAGCAAGTTCACTACAAGCCTGTGAGAAAAAGATTAATTATCCTAATTTCACATCAACAAATTACATCTAAACAGGGAAAATGATTTATCCAAAGTCACATAGAAAACAGAAAAATCTCAGGCTAGGATCTTGTAGTAGGAAACATCAGGGCACTTAACTGCACTAACACTTATTACATGTATTACACTGTTAAAAAGAAAACATGCACTAATTGTCTAAAGAGTTCTATAAGCAGAGTTAGCTTGTTAACTGCCTACTGGGAAGCTACTAATCTTATAAGTAGCTGCAAGAAGCATTTATTCCACATCATGCATGTAACAAGTACATAACTGAGAGCTGACTGGAAGCATTTTGAGTCTAGAGACTCCATATACAGTTTTAAAATATCATCTCTTGATTAGAGTCATTAAAAACATTTTACTTGTTCTCCAGCAAAGGTCAAACAGCTGTTTTTCTTCTGCAAAGAGTACGGTGGCCAGAAAGCTGAAGCACAGTGAAGGACATCATAACAGAAAACATTTTGTTTAAACACTTCACCATCTTCTTAATTTTTAACACAGAAATTGTTTACTCACTACAGAAGCAAATTTGTCATGCAACACATTTACCAAGTCCTACAAGGCGCTGAAAACATCTCAGTCTACAATGAAAACCAGAGAGTAACTATCGCATAGTTAATTACAACTTCTTACAGGAGAAGTACTTAAGGAGATTTTAACAATATTTAATTGTGCTGTGATTGAAATGCAACTGCTAGGACCTGTCCTCTTCTGCCAAATCATTACTGGGACACATAATTGACTAAGATACGTCATTGCAAGACTGTCCTGCAATAAAAAGTAGCTAGCCTACTCTCCAACTCCTATGCAGCCACCTTGCCACCGAGCAGCACGGCAAACACAGGGCTTTTTGCTGGGAGAGAAGGGTCTGACCTCAAGGGATCACCCTCTCAGCTTTCTGCAGCTTTTCTACACTAAACTTTCTAGTTATTTTAATAGCATAGCTTAATGTGATTGCAAACGGCTGTAGGTTTAACAGTACAACACTGGGGATACAAAACAGGAGTGCAATTCCTCTCCCCACCAAAAACCCTAAACAGAGGATTAAGCGTAAAGATTTATGCCTTTTGGAAGGACAAGCTACCAAAAATACCCAAACAAACATCGATTCTTAATCTAAACTAACTGAATGTGACTTCATGTATGCATTATATTTATACTTAACTTTCTTTTTCAAAGATGAACAAGTACTGTTCCTGGGTGGACTTACCACTCAGGAGAGAAAAGCATGCACATACTGATGATAATCAAAGCCAATATATTTCAGAATGACTAAAAACATACCAGTTATAGTAATGGAATCCTGCCCAATAGCAGGCTCCTGAAACTCTGTCTGTGTATCGAGCAAGGAGGATTTGATGTACGTAGCTAAAGTTTCCACAGGACTCCCACCAGCGGCCATCAGGGGATTATACTGGTTGTCAACAGGTGAACTTCCACTGCTTTTTAGTTCATCAAACCTTTTTGCACACTGTCACAAGATTAAATGATAGGACAATGAAGCAGTAGCTTTCAGTACATTTTTAATAACTATAATTTGAGACTGATATTGTATTTCATGATATCTTTTGCATGTGAACAGTTACTGTTATTAAACTTATAATGCTTCCTATTTAGTTAGTGGTATCAGGAAAGTACACAAATATACAGTAAAATAAGTAAGATTTACCATAATTAAACACTCTAACAGAAAGAGAAAAAAAATAAGATGGAACCTGTTTCGACCTTTATTTCCTTAAACCCTGTGATTTTAAGCCTGATCTTCAAAAGGGAAAGTTATGGGGAGAGTTTAAATTCTCTTTTGGGGACTAGTCCTTTTACCATAAACATTGTCAAATATTACTAAAAGCAGCTATCGTAATTGGTTCATCATTATTATTCTTTTACGTTATGACTTCCGTTCCGATTTGGACAAAAGGGACTGGCGATTTCCACTGCAGTCCTATTAACTTTCCATTCCGTGTTCTGAGGAACTACAAAGTCTTTCCATTTCACAAATTTGTACTGATACAATGACAATCACAGGTTTGGCTCAGCAGAATCCTACACACAGCTCATTTACACATACAAGTAAATCTACTTAATTCTACAGGTGATCCTCCTGCAACACAGCTGGTCAGGCTCCATTCCAGCAGCTGGTTTTATTTATTTGTTTTGGATTGAGCTAACTGACACTGATGCACACCACCTGCCCCTTTGGGAGAGGTGCACACAGTGACATCCTTCCGATATTAGTGTAGTGTCTCAAATTCATAAGGATGCCAGTCTACAACAGATACATAAAAGCACAGGTATACTTAGTTGCCTTAAACAGGGACTCCACGTATTTGAGACACTTTGTTCTTTTAAAACAGAGTAACCAGACATGTACTAACCAATCATATTATCTTAATTAATATGAGGAGAGAGCTCACCAATACTTCTATAATTATTTTATTTGCTTAATGTCCACAGTACTGTCTGCAAATTGAAAGTTAGAGAGCAGAGACCTCCCCACCAAGCACATGAAAGGCAGTAACATTCCGCAGAAGCTTCTACTCCCTATCATTCACTTTCATGTTTTAATGCAAGGTTACAGTGATGCCCAAATAGCAATGCTATAAATGTGAGCTGACACATTTGATTAAGTTTGCAAGAAAATAAAGACAGTTGGCTTGTGTTTTTTTCAGCTTTGCTGAATCACAAGGGCAAAAGACATCTTCCTCTTTTAGCTTACTTCCCCTCAGAACTGAAAAATTCAAAATCATTATTTAAAAAAAAAGTAAGCACTTCACCAGGAAATTCAGCAATCCAGAAAGATTAAGTATTCGGAGGTACTAGGTTCTTCCAACTCTATTCCAACCAAAGAAAGAAAAATCCACACCTTGTAGGACCCAAGCCAGAGGCAACCGCACTCTTTTAACTACCTAATGGAGATCTGCAACTCATGCTTCCTTAGAATCGTAAAGACAAGCATAAGAAGTTACCAGGTTTGCTACTAAGTATACTACAATCTACATGCGGTTAGTAGGTACTGCCATCCTTTCCATGAAAATCTTAGCTTTGTAATTTAGCTATGTAATACGTTAGCACAACTACTTTTTTTTATTCCACTTTTTAATTTTTACTTTCCAGTATTTTTTGTTCTTATTCTCTATTGGTTCTAATGAAATAAGACGCAGAATGTATTTCTTAATTTCAGTGTTCAGGTTCTGTAGAAACAAAATATTTTTTTTCAATCTACTGCTCATTTAACATTTTTTATTCTTTCGGTATAAATTACTTCAGGGGAAAAAAAAAAAATAAAAATCCCTCAACTTCCATTTCCCTCCCTCCTCCAAAGATGTTTTCTTCTTCATAAAGTACTGCTTAAAGTATACAAATTCTTTTATGAGTAAATTCACCTCTTTGGATGTATATCCTGGAACTAGCCTTGCCACGCTGTCCCAGTTGATAGGCTGAGGAACACCAATTAGGGAGCACAGGATCATATCCAAAACCATTTGATTGTTATCATACGGAAAGTTATTGTTTTCTGAAAATCCACGACTCATTTTTGGCTTCTTAAGCCTAGAAGAGAAAATGTTATTAGCAAGCCTCACTGCATGGTTTGCTAAAGCTTGATCTACGTTAACTGCAGCACTCCATAAGTTACTATGGGAAATGTTTACCATGGCATTACAGTCAAGTATTAATGCTTTATTTGACAAAATTTACGTATGCCTGTCCGCATCCTCAAAACCCTGGGGGGAGAAGCAGAGGTGCAAACCACACCAAAACCAACTCAACAGCAGCAGGCACTACCTACCACTCCTTTGAGTTGTCGTTCCAGGAGGGATTCACACTGCCGATCCCTCCAATGCAAAAAAAGGCCCCCACCATCTCAGCATAAACAGCCTAAGCAACAGAGGGACATTTTAATTTACATTTACTTACACTCAAATACACTTGTCTGCTCCCCCAAACTTTCTGCTGCTCAGCTTCACTCTCCTGTTGCTCTGCCTAGTTGTTTTGCACACCTGACTTCCATTATATAGGAGCCAACCCAGCTAAGGGCCATCAATACTACTTTGGAGCCAGAAAATAGGACACCTGGATGTCTTTCAGCCCTCATCCTGAAAACCTGACTTTTGAGTCATCCTAAGGCACTCATAACTCCTGATTAGCTGGGATTATCAGGGCCAAAAACACCTTGTTTCTTCAGCTTCAAGTTGAACACCAGAGCAAAGCATACAAGGACAGCAGTGAACACTTAAAAAAAAAAAAAAAAAAGGCATTTCCTCTAATTGAAAAAAGTGTTACATTTAGTGCGTTTTTTTTTTTTCTTTTTCCAAATGCATTTTATGTATAACACCAGGGAACACAGTAAAAGTTCAAAGTACTGTTTTAGTATATGCTAGGAGAAAACTGCAGGCATTAATCAAGACTTTCATATTCAAGTAACGCACAGCCAAAGAGCTTAGTAAGGACTCATATTTGGAAAGCACTTTGGACCTTTTCCAAAGTACCTTAAATAGATCACAAAAATAACAGAACTTAAAAGTCACATAGATAATTTTGACTCATAAAGCAAGGATTATAGAGAATTTCAGAGACAATTCATTTAGATGGTAGCAGATCTAACTGATCACTTGTTACTAAAAGTATACTATACATAGATGTTTCTTTTGCATCACCCCCTTTCTAAAAGAAAAGATGCTTAAAATATACAAAATAGCACTGATTTTGTTTCTGACTTTAGAAGCTATTCCAGTACTTCTTTTGTTTGTCTTGTTGATAGAAACAGACATCACAATAGCAGGTAACCGTAAGCTTTCATCCTCTCAAAAGAGCAGCTGGATGAAGCCATCAGAAAGAAAAAACCCAGAACTCGACAAGATAATTCTTTGGTTTTATATATTAATGAGAGTTAAAAAAAAAAAAAAAAAAGCCACGAACAAAACACAGAAGACAAGTCCAAAAGAAAAGAGTCATGCCATTTTAGCAATTCTGTCTAAACGACATCCACTGTAAAGCATGCCAAATAGCCAGTTTTAAAAGACAAAGGTCCTTCACAGACTATACCAGCCCAAATTTCCCAGCTAAGATAGATGCCACTATGAGGTAAAGGTAGATCAGTCCCTGCAGTCACTAAGTCTTTAGCCCTCGTCCTGATAGTACATCAAGTGGTGTCACTGTGGTAATTCTATGGTGGAGACTTCTCGCTGTCAGTGCACAGGCAGATGTCAGTATCAATTATATTTAAGCCACTGAGCGTCTACCATATCTGCTGTTATGAAAAGAAACAACCGGGCCAGAACAGGTCAGCACCAGTGGCAAACCTAAGCGGTTCTCACATACGAAGCTGACTTGTTGTACTACCTTGTACACGTGTAGCAGCTTGTTTAAAAACATGTTTGAATGAGATAAGTAAACGATGGAGTATTAGAATCCTCTGGTCTTGAGCCATAAAATACGCTTAATAAAAGCAAAATTACTAGCAATGTGAATATTGCTTAAATCACCATTTTAAGGACTAGTTCTATGATATCATCATACTGGGTAATCAAAGAAAGAAAAGCAGTTATTTTGCAATAGTTAGAGTCTATAATTTAAAGGAAAAAAGGTTGAGTACTTTGCTGGTAACAAGTTTACATACACATCAGCACTGTGGACCATGAAGCAACCCGACCATGAAGGGACGACAGGTACTCGAAATCGTAATGACGCGCTCAGAGAGGATGAAGCCTTTGTCTCTCAAATATTTTTTTATTTGCTTATTCTGTATATTAAAACACAGTTTTATACACGCTTATTTCTGCAAAGATAAATGAAGGCGCATACTTCATTACAAGCATACAGAAGTTAAGTCTTTTTATTGCTATTCTGGAAAGAGCACAGGGCTCCTCTTTGTGGCTTTATACACGATATTTAACATTTGCCTTTTCGTCCTTTAGGAAATCCTGTCAGAAGCATAAAGACACACGCAAGATTCTGTCTCATGCGAGAATGGTGCACTCCATGAGAAGAGCAACATAAACCCTGTAATAAATCATATTGTTAAGAGAGAGAAAACAACTCCTACAGATTCTCTCCAGTTTGTTACTCCAAGTAAAGCGCAAGTTAACCCATTCCTCAACTATGGAAACTAGAAAAAAAAAGTTTCCGAATTGTTTAATTCTGACCAACTCGTTTCACATGCACAATATAGAAAGATACATGACAATAGGATTTTTTTATTAATGTTTAGAATTCTAAATTAAGTGGTGCAAAAGATTCCCAACACTTTAACATTTCATAAAACTGATACGATTTAAATAAAGAGTTAATTCATTTTGCAGGAAGTTGGTTTACATTTCAGAAATGCACCGCCTCATTTAAAACTGATTTTTTTTTTTATTTAAAGCAAAGAATCAGTCTAAAAATGAAGAATTACTATCCCCTTGCACGTGCATAACCTGCAGGAAGGTAAAGATGGTGGGACGGGCATGAGGTTTCATGCAGAACACTTAAATGCAACAAAGTGATGGTGCAGAATGGGGGGGGAGGAGAAATAACAGCAACTTTGACTGTATTTTGCCCACGTACTAGTCAAAATAAACATTAAAAGAAGGTATTTCAATAAAAAAATAAAAAACTGATCCCAGTTTTAGGAGCAAGAGCCTGCAAGTGCAACCAGCTACCTCAGGCAACACCGCCCTGGTGGGACCCGCCCTCAGCAGCGGGAACCTCGGCCACCACCTCAGTCCCCTCCGACGGAGGAGCCCGCGCAGCTGCCAGGGCCCCCTCCCCGGTCAGAGGCGCGGAGGGGCCGGGGAGCGAAGGCAAACCCGGCGGTGCCGGGAGGGCAGGGGTTACCTGGCGGGGTCCCAGGCGAGGGATCGGCGGACGCGGGGCAAAGCGGCGCGGCGGGACGGGGCAACGGCTTCTCCTGGAGGCGCAACGGCCGCCGGGGCAGGCA